TGTAACCACGCCCGTGGCCACAGGCGAAAGGTGGGGGTGAGAAGCCGAGGACAGGCGGTGGCTTTCCAGGAGCCACCCAAGTCCCACAGTCCCTCGTTTTCCAGCTGCAGCGCCACGCACCCGATGCAATCAGCGTGGGATTTATTTATTATGTTCCCTGTACACAAACAACCTCGCCAAAGGAAATGCCTTCTCCGCCCCGGCTCCCGCTCTTGACCACACAACAGGCACACTCCGTCCCTTCGCTCGGGCCATTGTGAATCCCTTCACGTCCTTCTCTTCCCCCCCTGCCTGCCTCAAATTTGCTGGAAGCAACCATATATGGTGAAAAAAAGGAAGAAAACGGCACCGAGAAGCTCCAGGGCTGCAGCGTCCGGCAGGCACCCGCCAGATCTCCCAGCGGTTCAGGGGTGGCAGCCGGTTGTCGGATAGATGGGGCAAAGGATAACCTGCCACGAGAGGAGCGTGGCTTCTCCAGGCAACGATGGGTAGCGGCTCCCGATAACCTAGACCAGGGGAAAAAAAAGGCTTTTATAAGCATTGGGGTTTTATTACAAGCGGGATTCAGATAGATGGTGGGAACACGGGTAGTTTCCAGCAAGGCACGACGCGGCTGGCACGGAGCGCGGCGCTCAAGGCTCTTGCGCTGGCCAGTTTCTGTTTTACCTAATTCCTTCTCCATGACCCACGCAGCAGCCCCGGCTTTCTGTGAGTCACCTCAGGGCCTGGTTTGTTGCTCAGCCCAACCCTGCAGCTTTTGAACCGGGTTATCCCCAGCGTATAAGGTTAGTCATGCAGCTCTCCTCGCCGTCCCTCGCCACCGGCCAGGCACAGCGGGAGAGGGCAAGGCTGCGGCCACTCTCCCCATCCACCCTCAGCAGTAGCTTTGCTCTCAGTCAAGGCTGGAGGGATCCTCCGAGCACCACGATGCCAGTGGGAAATGAGCCGAGAGGGGGGGGCGAATGCCTTAACGCAATCATTTAGCGGGAGCGAGGAAGCCCCCAAGAGCTGGTCTCTGCCCAGAAATCCAAGCGGCTTCTCTTCTGATGCCCTTGATTTTTTTGAAGGAGACGTGACATTTTGAAGCTTTTGTTTTTACAAGCGTTTCCGAAACCCTTGCTTGATCCAGGGTGCTGCTTGCGTGGGAAACCCTGTGAACCAAGTCTCAGCCCCGAGGAAATTACAGCTGCTCCTTCTCCTGCAGAAGGATCGGGGAGGCATTTCCAGCCGGATAGGGGTCAGGGGAACAAAGGGCAAAAGCTGGCTGAGAGATAAGGAGAAATCTGGAGAGGATTGGGGCCGCGGAACGTGCCTTGGACCATATCTTTGGCCAGCTCTTTGGCTCAGGACTCGATCGTCCTTTGACATTGCTGGAATGTGTTTTACCGTCCAAGAGCGAGCAGCCGTGGGCTGGACACATCTTCCTTGGAAAGATGGGCACCGAAGGAAACCGGAGAGGGAGAGCGTAAACACGGCTCCTAAGGGAATGCTGGGCGCAGATCCAAGCTGGGGTCTTTGGGATCAAATATCCCGTAGCTGGCAAGGCTGGAAGGAGAGCTCTCCTCATTTTGCCAAATTAGAACAAATCCGCAATCCTTCGTTAATCCGGCACCTTTTTTCCTAGTGTGCCACAAGAAACAATGGGGCGAGCTTGCCGGGACCAGAGGCGGCAGGAAAAGGTGCAGTTCCTCCATTATGTACCCAATTGTGAAATAATTCTCTCACAGCAAGGAAATTTGTCCTGCAGTTTGGCAGGCGAACAGTTTATGCCCTCCAGTTTATCTGGCCGGTTTATCGGTTTATACTAACAGGTGTGAATTGACTCCGGGGGAAGGAGAGGATGGCAGAGAAAGAAAAGCACGGTGCGTGCCAGAAACACACAGACAAACAAGCTCCAAAGGACAACGGAGACAACTCCTAACAAAAACACATCTCTTTTCCTCATTCGGGGTGGGGACGCCTTGGGAGCCCCCGTTTTCCGTTCCTGCTTTGTTGGGTGGCTCCAGAAATATTGTTTTCCCATTTCCTCCACTCCCCATGTTTTCCTGAACGGTAAAAGCATTAACAGCTTTTAAAACCAAGGGCAAAATAGCCCCCGCCTGTCAGGGGGGGAATGTATGCTCAGCAAAAATGACCTAGGAAGGAAAATTCGAGGGTTTCTCCGAGTCGAAAGCCTCCTGCTACGGGGACAACACAACAGTCCCCGCTCCCCAAATCCGGGCTGGAAAAGAGGGACGAGGGCCCTGCCCCGGGCACAGTTTATAGGAAGGATGTGGTTGTTTGTCCTCCCTTAGATCAAGATAGTCTTGCTGACGAAAAAAAGTTGCCTGTTTTCTGCGGCGAAGAGCAAGAACCATCTAGACATTGCGATCTTAAAAATAAACATTTGCCTCAGATTTTCTCACCGGCTAACTTTCTGTGTGGGTGTCGTGTCCGTCCCCGTCCCCCCCCCCCAAGACGCGGGGTCGGGGGAGCGCGACACGC